AGCAGGGTCTTTTGGGGGCATCCGCTCTTCTGGTTGAAGCTGAGGCCCTGGCACTGGGAGGCCCCACAGTGCAGCCCCTAGCTAGAGCAAGGAGGGCTCCCTTTCCTGTACTCTTCCTTTCTCTGGCTTTGGGCCCGGCCTAGCCAAACAGGGAGCTCCCTGCCACCTTGCTGAAGAGCTATTTGCCCAAGGCTCCTTCTTCTAACAGAAGTTCCCTGTTGAGCCCAAGTAAGCTTGCCCTCAGCCTACAGCGCTCAGAGCACCAGGCCCCTCATCACTAACAACAGTACTTCACATTCCTTTTGTCACTTTCATGCTAAAGGGTTCCCAAAGCACTTTGCAGCCTGTCTATGCACAGAGCCAGCAAAACACTGCTGCCTCTGAGCAGAAGCCAACTGGCACGTGACAAGAGCAGGAGAGGAAGGGGTGCTTTGGCACAGACACCCAAGGCAAAGCCTGTTCCACATGGCATGTTTAAGGTCCATCTCATATAAGCTGGGCATAAGGTGTTACCATTTTGCAGTACTTTCGCCTTTAAACACTGCCCTGCTAGACAAGGAACCCCATATATCCAAGATCAGAGCTTTTGCCAGTCAGGTGTCACAAAGAACTATGGCTTTCCAGATTTATGCAAGTTGCAACAGATAAAAGTCTTATTTAGGACTTGAAGGAGAGTGAGGTACGCCCTCCTGCACACACATTCAAAGTACACATCACTAGAGAAGAGAAATGGGTGGTCTCCTATATGATACAGGAGAAGAGAGAGGCAAAAACGTGCCACTGACTAATGCACTGGCCAGACCCTTCTGCAGATGTGTGTTTTGCATCCAGTACTGGCATGAGGTCACGTTCAGGCTGCCTCATTCCTAGAATACCACGTGCCAGAAAAATCCCCCACATTTCGGTCCGATTAGCATCCTCTGCTGCTGAGAGGCCCAGGCCTGTAACACAAGAGGGAATTGTCAGGTCGGATGGAGGTACAATGTAAGAGCTGGGCAGGGGGAAAGCTTGCACGTTACCTGCCTATGCGCAGTAAACCAACTCTCCACTACGTCAGGTCTGGAATACAGACTTCCTGATCTTATTAACACTTTGTGCTCCTAGCTGCCGTAGATCCTGAAATACACCATAGCACAGGGGTTAATAACATCTGGCCTGATCCAGCCCAAGGAGTCACTGGATGTGGCCCGCAGAGTTGAAGAGCTTTGCCCTGTGTCCATGACCATATACCTATGCTGGGGCCAGGCAGCAAGGAGCTGTTCCAAGACTGGGAAAGCTTCTAGCTGTGCCTGCACCTCTGCCGCTTCTCCCTAACCTCTCAGCTCCAGTCCAACATGGGCTGCGTGGCTTCGGCAATGTGCCAGCAGCAGGGGCTTCCCCTGCATTTGCTCCAGAGCCGAGAAGCTGGGAGCTGCTTCCACACTGCCACTGCTTCTCTCAGCATCCCCCCACAATGCCCTGGTTAGGGTCCAGGCACAGCTTCCAACCCATGGAGAACTGTGCCAGGGCCAGGCAGCCTCTGCACTGCTGCCACTTCTACTTCCTCCAGTTGTGGCATAAGTGCAGTTTCCAACAGGTGGGGAGTTGCATTGGGGCTGGACAGCTTCCAGCTGTGGCCATGCTGCAGCCAGGGGATGGAATAGGGAGGGGGAGCAGGAAGAAGTGGCAGCAGCATGGATGCAGTTTGCAGGTGCCTGGCCCTGACATAGCTCCCCACCAGCTGGAAACTGCCTGCCGCATGGCCAAGGAGTGAGGGGCTGGGAGAAGAAGCAGAAGCTCCCAGCTGCCTGGCTCCAGTGGGAGCTGGGGAAGCCCTCTGCTATTGACACATTGCCAAAGCCACTCAGCCTGCATTTGACCAGAACCAAATTGTTCCATCCTGGGGCTTGTAAAAAGTTGCCAGCCCCTGCCATACAAAATCTGCTTGTGACTCCAGCAAATTTTGCTCCTCCTCTATGGATCTGTCCCTTTTAGTAGTTTACCCTTAGCTCATTAACAATTATGCTGTTCTGCAACTGTGGCTTGTCTCAGCTTCCAGAAGTCTCCAAAAAAGGTTTGGTTTGTACATGAGAACCAGACTCTTATTTGCAAAGTGCTTTCCCACTGCAAAAACACCCCAAAACCTTACGGTACAATAATTGCCATCACAACAAAATAAAAACCAAACCCAAAGGAATTGATCAAAAGCTTGAGGAAAATGGGCTCTGGAATCTGTTTAGTGGAACAACAGTCAGCAGGCATCATGGCTGAAGAGTCTAGAAAATAAATCGAATGCACAGTTATAACAAACAGATCTCCTGTTGAGCTCTTTTCCTCCATCGCCTGGGTATTGTTCCATTTCAGTAGTCTGCATTTGCCAAGTGCATTGTAATGACTCAATTCGGGGGGGGTGGTATTATGCAAAATTGTTGCACACCTTGTACAGTATGTGCCACTGCAAGATGCTCTGACTGCGGTGCTCAACCACCCATTATTTCACACAAAGCAAACCTGTATAGGTAGGATTAAAGACGGGGAGATTTTAAGGCTCAATCCTGCAGTGATGCTTACATAAGTGGGTGAGGCTCCATGCAGGCTGGGGGCATCGGATGCAACTGAGGTATAGGATCAAGCCTGGAAGATGGGTTCTGTGCCAGGTGTTTTCCAGCTGACTTGAGCAGGGCTGGACAGCCTTCCTGATAGGAACAGAAATGGAAAGTGTTAAACAACTAACAACACTTATATGAGGGCCTGATCCTGCTGAACTGAGCTGCAGATGCTCAGTCCTCTTTCAGGAACTGCTCTGCATCTTGCAGCATCAAGCCCGGAAGCCAGACACTGCTTTCTTCCTTCCCCTGAACCTCCATCCTTCAAGTCAAAGATGAGGATCTTAGCAGCATTGCTCCTGAATTGGCCCAAGGAGGGAGGGGACAGTGCAAAACACCCTCTTCTCCCTCTGAGCCAGCATGTATTGTCTCTGTAACTGGAGCTGTTTGCTGAGCCCCCAAATCACCAATCCTCTTAACACAAGTGCCAACCTACGAGCCCCTTGGCAGATAGAATGACTGCCCAAGAGTCAGAACTCACAACCCTTCTGGGAGCAGCCACCACACACTCAGACAGTCCCCTTCACTCCAGCACCACTGTCTGCCAATCTAATAAGCCAGAGGTGATCTTAGCGGCAAGCAGCTAATGGTCTTGATTTTTATGCTGTGGTTCAAGGTAGGTCAAACCACAGTTCAACACCATGCTCCAGGCTGGGGTGGCAGAACACTAGTGAGCTGTGGGGGTGTCTGTAAGGGTTCTCTCCTGCTTTTCTTTCCTGCCCGTGACTTTTCCTGCATGTTTTAAATCTCTGTGCTTCTCCCTACCCCACCGCTGCTCCCCATAACCTATCTGTTACCCGAGTGCCCATGCATCCCCACCCTGCCAGGCCTGCCCCTCCCCCTTTCTAAATGGAAGTTTTGGTACTCACTACATTTTCCTCAGTCCCCGCCCCCCAACCTCTTCTCCCAGGTCCTGTTTACTACCTCCTAGTGGACACCCTACTGTAGACTAAATCTGCAACCTCACTCCCCTCTCCACCAGTACAAACTATCAACCCTCAGTACAAACCACCACCACCTCCCAAGTGCCACAGAACCTCCTAAGCCTAATGCAGGCCATGAGGTCTGCCCGCTGTCTTCAGTTGGGATCCCACCATAAATGTAGCTGGCTTTACCACCTGAGTCATGCAAGCAAAATGTAGTCCTTAGATGCAGGGAACCAGGCCTATCTTGTATTGACCAGTGCACCAAGACCTGCTACCAGCTCCAAACAGGAGTGTCTTGACTTGAACCACTTCTAGCAAATTTTATCTGGAGCCCAAACAAAATGCCCAGGAGCTAGGGAGAACTGCATCACCCAGACTGCAGGGTTTCCTATTGCAGCTCTCCTTTCAAATGGTGCCACCCACCAGGTCTTGGACCCAAGAGGATCTGGGTCTCAAAGTATTTATCCAGAACAGTGGGAGCCAACCTTTTGGGCAGGCATGCCACAAAACTGGCACTTGGGAAGCATGCAGGGCTATTCTAATCCCCTTCCCTTGCCTGATCTGCTGCTCTGCTTTCTGCTCCCTGCCCAATCTGGTACTTTGCTTTCTTCTCCTTGCCCTATCTACCCCTATGCTCCCTCCCTCATCTACTACATGCCACACGGAGGCTGCCCATGCCCCTCATGGCACTCAAGCCACACATTGGCCATCCCTGATCTAAAAGCAGTGACACTGCATCTACACTGCTTGTGGTAGGAGCCTTGGTTACAGACCTAGAGTAGAGAAGGTTGCCAGAGACAAGGCAAATCAGGAATAATGTGTTTCTGAAATCAATCAGCTTTGTTATTCCCCCACCTTCCAACACCAAGCTTCTGCTTCAAGAAGCGGGAGCTTGGTGTTGGAAAGTATTGGCTGCCACATTAGAAAAGGAGGCAGCCATTTCCTGGTGGCAATCTCGCAGCCAGCAGGGCAAGTCCAGGTAATAAAATAATTGACTTTGATTCTGGAGCCTGCTGTGTCACCTGCACACCAGCTCAGCGGGCATGCATGGGTTGCAAAGCCAGTTAAACTGGCCCCAAGGAATAGCTCTGCTGTGCAGCGAGGTTGTGTGGGTAGCCCTGGAGCTCCAGGACAGTGCTTTGCAGCACTGGTAGAGGGGCATGTCAGGAAAATGGCTGGGACCAGTCAGAAGGCACAGTGTGAAAAGGAGGAGGTTTGCCCAAATGCCATGTGCTCCAGCTATTCTTGCCTGGTGACATGGCCGACATGGGGCTGTATTAGAGCAGCCCCTGGCCCAGCTCAGATTTTGTGCAGTACAAAGGTAATTCAGAATTACCTTTCTCCACCACTGGACTATGCTTCATGAAAAGCACAGCTCAGAATCAGGGCTTCAGGGTCACATCCTGCAAAGTGATGAATGCCTTAATGCATGTTCATGTCAAGTTTGGGCACACTGAATCACTTCAGAGCAGCCCTATGGACAGTGGGGAATGAAGGATCACAGAATCATAGAGGAGTAGGGCCGGAAGGGATCTCTAGAGGTGATCTAGTTCAACTTTTCTGCCAGAGCCAGGATCATCCCTATCCAAACATATTGTCCAACCTATTCGTAAATCTATATGGTCAACCCTGACACAACCACAAAGCATAACACCGTTACCTGCTACAGTTAAAGCAAAGGGACTATGGCAGCCAATGTCCTGCTGCTGTGAGGGTTGTTAAAATACATTAGAGAAAGGTTGGCTTGCTCCATGCCATTGCCACTGAATCTTGATGTATCCTCAAACTAGTTACGTCCAGAGCTTCCTCCAAGACTACAGGAAGCAAAAAGCCATGTAGTTTGATAAGCCTATCCCATGTTACTCAGACACTAAGACTAAGCAAACACTACCCTGCTCCCATATCTCTGTGCTGTCAGCTGTGGCAGCCCTCAGACTTCAGTCTCTTCTGGGTTCCTCTCAGTTATACTGGGATCTCTTCAGGTCTGGGACCATACATTGCTAGGTATGTTTGAAGTGCAAGCTATACCCCACTATAAATACTGCATTAATAACTGTGAATAAATGCCAGCATGATTCAGAGGCCTATACTTCTTTGACTGACAACAAGGAAGCTGGATGCTCTTTGGATACCATGATCACATCCCTGAACTGAGATACATAGCTGCCTATTCAGGTAAGCAACTCTCAGGCTTCAAAGACTAAAGCTGATGACTTTAAAGGTCAGGAAGGAATGGAGAGAGGTGGCTTTACAATTAGGGCATGGCACCTGCAGTTGGGGGATATGGAGTCCTGCCTCCCTTTGCTGGAAAATCTCCACACCTCAGTTTTCAGTCTGCAAAATGGGAATATTAATTTCCTTTGTTTACGAGACAGCTGAGGAAAGGACTGTCCCTCATGATGTCAACATGTGCAATGAAGGCTAGATCTCAGCAGGGTCTCAAGGCTTGGCCATGATATCAATAAGCCATGCTATGAAGCAGTCACCTTACTCTGAATCATCAGATAGGGGTTTTAGCCACAGGCACACTCTGGAGGAGGGCCTGATCCTACCCAACAGGATCACCACCTAGATGAATCAAGGCTTTCTGACAAGCCCCTGCACCAAACTGGCAAGCACTGGATTGTGTGCTCCTGATCAAGAGCTTGCTCATTAATACACATCTGCTGCTTCCCTAGCCATTCTAATCCCACAAGATGGTACACGCATAAAGAGGGCAACAGGCTACAGGGGGAGCCTAGACAATTGCTCCAGCCTCTTAGCTGTGGGGGATGGGATGTATGTAAGTGTAGGCTTTTTGCTTCATTTCTAGCAGTGGTTTCTCTCTTTTTGAAAGGAAAGAAAATCCACCAAACACAATAAATACAAATAAAAAAATCACAACAGCAGCAACAGAATTGAGGAGGAGACTGAGCAGCCCTGTAGCAATCGAAGCTAATGGGAATTGAGAATACTTAGCCCTGAAAGGCTCTGGACCACAATCCTGATCTGAAACAAATCTACGGTCATCAGGACCCTCAGCTCTGATGAGGACAGATCATCATGGATAGAACTGTATGCTGTTGGATGCAGAGCAGGAGTGGAAGAGGTCTAATTCACCAAACAACAGTGATTCAGGCACACAGAACGAAAGATTTACATTAAAAAATAGGTGTGGGGGGGAAACGACCCTGACAGACTTCCAAGATCAGGTGTTTTTGTAATGAAGAGACTGAGTCTGAGTGCAGGGCTGGGAGCCAGAACTCTGGGGTTCCCTCCTGAGCTCAGTCACTGATTTGCTTGTGAGTAGTTGGACGAGTCACTTCCCCTCGGTGTGCCTCATTTTCTGCATCTGTAAAAAATGAAATGAATATTCACCTGTGTCACAGGAGCACCCAGCAGTCTTGCAACTAACAGCACCATCCAAGCATCAATATTCATTCTTTGCATCTCAGGACATCAGCTCCACTGATTCCTTTAAAATCAAGCAAGCAAGCAGTCACTTGACTGTTTCATTTCACCTTCTCTAGAATATGATTGTATCCTTGGTCTAAGCATAAGGGGTAGGTAAATAAAAGCAGCTGGTGGTAAATGGACGGCAACATGGTTCTAGGAGGATATGAGATCTTTGACTTCCAGGAGCTATGAAGCCGTTGCTGCGTGGGAGCCCATGTAAAATGAGTTTGGTGAATCCCAGTCCCATGCCAAAGGGTCTGTATCACTGCACATGGTCACCCCTCTTGCTTGCTACTCAGAGCAGAGAGGCTATCATGAGCCACAGAGACAGGATAATGTCCCTAGACCAGTGATTCGCAACAAGGGTGCTACAGCACACTGGGGTGCCTTGAGATGCTTTTAAGGACACTGCAGGGTGCCATACAAAATTAGCACTGTCAGGTGTGCAAATGCCTGCCTACACAGGATTCACAATAAACCCAGAGATTTCAAATAGGATTCCAAATAGCCCACAGGAGGTCAGAGTGTTTCTGGGTTCTCTGCCACAAAAGAATTGCTCTATTATTTTTTCTCTAGTGAAAAAAAAACAGTGACTGAAAGATCACAAAAAGAGCACAAAAGCTAACAGCTGGCCCCTTCTGAAGGAGGCCTTGAGTCTAAAAACTTTGAGAACCAGGGCCCTAAACAGAGGATCTGTCCTAGGCCTTTATATGTGGAGGGGGGAGTTTA